TGGGCGATTTTTCCCTCCCCGCCTCTCCCGGTTGCCAGTAAGTCGCAAGCTCTACAACCCCTCCTCCCTCGGTTGTCCCTACATCGAAAGCCTCACTCTCCCCTCCCTGGATCCGCCAATAATTGTCCCTTAAATTGACTCGTTTTGGGGCTTCTCGTTTTGTCCTCACCTTGCATCGGTAAATTCGAGTAGTGGCAAATACCATCAATTCAGGCCTCACCAAAAAAACGTATTTTGCATTCAGTTGAGTGAGGGGGGCATATTGAGAGGATTGCTAATCTATCACTCACTTCCAAGAAAGCTACTTCTTTATCTGTCTGAGTAACACAAGCCAAATTATCATGTCCTGAGAAAATTTCTAGGCTTTGTGTTAGGCCCGCTTCCTCATGCCTAATCTTTTTTTCAAACTTAACACTTTCTCATCACAGATTAACACTTCCTCATCATACCTCCCCTGTATGCTTGTTTTTTCCCCGTACACTTTTTTATAGGGGTTTTTGCACCTGTGAAATCTTGCACAGCATAGCTATGTGAGGTAGGGGGGGGGGGGTTTATCAGATTTTCGAAAATAATTGGAAATATGTGGAAATCGTTTTTCAACATCAGATATGCCTGGTACTAGTTCCTCCTGTCTGAGTGGATTCGGAAGCCTGAATTCTGTTGATGAAATTTCCGATCAGGAGAAGCAACAGCAGCAGCAACATCTCTGATTTTTGCACCATTAATTTTGTGAGGATGAATGGAAAACAAAATTTCCTACTCACATTTAGCTTCCCTACATGTCCTCCTTACATCTTCTTAACTTTTTATAATACACATATGCGTTTCACAATCTATTTCATTTTCTCTTTCTGTGGTCTCACCACGATCCATTCATTTATTCCGCTTGAAAAAAGAAATAGAAAATGTGAATTTACTTCAAAAAATTTGATTTTTTCTTTTTTTTTGGTTTTAGAAAATCCCGAATTCCGGATTTCGAAAATTCCCCATTTATATTTCAGCAATGTTCCGGTCACCGCTTCTTCCGGTATTGACATGAATGATTTCTACAGTCAGCAGGCTGCGAAATTTACGGCTCCAGCAGCACCGGCTGCCGACTACTACTCTCAGTTGAATCAGTCTCGTGCTGGTGGTGCTCAGAGTGAGTTATTTTTAATAAACGCATGCAAATTCTTTCCAAAAATTCCCCCTCATTTTTGAGTTCCTTTTTTGTACCAATACCAAAAAAAAACCAAAGATTTTGTCTGGACAGTTGATATTTATCGGTGTAACCTGAATGCCCCCACATAGCAGGCGTAGCTATGCCAGGTCCTTCAAATCTTTTGCACTTTATATCTTTAAATGAATATATCAATCGGCCATTTCTTCATTGGTTGTAGTTTGAAGGAAAATTCAACTAATTTAAAATTCTTAATAAGTTTTTCCCCCGCCTGATACCTTTAGCTATTGGGCCGCTGTTCCGGCCCTTTTTTCTCCCTTTTTTTCACAGGGCTTTTAAGGCCCGTACTGCCTTTTGTATTGATTTATTGGAATTTTTACCTGTGTTATTTTGCTGAAAAATCTTGTTAATCAAATCATTTTCACGTGGCACACCTTGATTCCAATCAGTACGACGGGCAACGCTCTTATGATTGCTGTAATCGAAGCTGTATCATTCTGCTTTTAATTCTCTTTTTTTTTTTGTTTTTCCGGAAAGAAATTTTAGATATATAAGAAATTTTAGATATATAAAAAAACTCTTTTTTTTTTTTTGTTGCTTCTTTAGTGCTCCTCACCTGAAAGACTTATGCCCCTCATCAGTGGCCATCATTTGGTTTGTATATTATGCTTTG